CCTGGAACAGACAGATCTTGCATCTCCTGGAGGGATCCTGCCACCTAGGATGCTCTTCCCTCCAGTGTCTTCCCACTTAAATCACAACCATCATTGAAAGCTCCTCCCAAACCCCCTCCTCATGGAGGGGCTGGATCTTCCCCGCCTTCAGCGACCTCCCCTCCTTTGTTCACACTTTTCAAGAAACATTTTCCTGTTAGCTTATTTGCATTAAAGTAACCAGTTAGCTCCCCAGGTTTTGGGGATGCAATGGATAAATACTGTGATGAGGTCCTGGCTCCTTAGAGCTTAGGTTTATCGGGATCGGAGGAGAAACAAGAACATTACAACACAGTAAGACAGAGCCTTGGGAGAAGTTTCTAGGAACAGCTCTGGAAACCCTGGCTAGAGAGCACAATCAGCTCAGCCTGACGGAGAGTCTCAGTGGAGCCGCTGAGTTTTGAGGGATGAGGTTCTTAGCCCGGAAAGGCAGAAGGAACAGCACATTCGAATGCAAGAGCGATGACAGGGCCCAGGGGGTCGAGGAAGGATGAGGCTGCAGTGCATGGGGAGAAAGATGAGGCTGCGGGCAACAGGGCTCTGCGTGCCAGCCTGGGGTGCGGTGGGCGACGGGGGTCGGAGGCATGGCTGTGCGCGCAACGGGAGACCACTAGAGGGTTAAGCAGGGGAGTGGCAGGGTCATATGTGCTGAGATGACCCTGGCAGCCTGCTCAGGTGCAAGAGAAGCTGGGGGGCCCTGCACCAGGGAAGGGGAGAAACAGCGAGGCCAGACCTGGAGATAGCTGAAGAGGGCAGGGGTTTGCGACACTGGGATTTGATTTTGGTGAGGGTCTGGCTGTGGTGCTGAGCAGACAGGAGGACTTGGAGTGGGTTGGGGCCTTCGTTTTGGGGAGCCCCTCTCCTGTTCATGCGTGAGCTCCTGGAGGGCAGGGACACAGCCTCACACAGAGCTGTAGCCTCCACTGTGCCTTGTGCAGAGTAGATACTGTGTACACATCTGTCGAGTGGATAAGACTTTTCAAAAGGCAGCTTTCCTAAGAGTTAGTCCATCTCAACTTACTTGAAAGCAGGAAGCCTCACAAATGAACTTATTTGCATATTTTGTTTATTAGCAGAGATGAAAGAGATCAATTAGAAACCAGAGCCCATATTTTAAAGCAGTTAATATTCCAACTACACTATAAGTATCCTGCAGTAGATTTTTATCTTTTGAGAAATTCCGAAAGCTTAATTCGCAGAATTTAAATACATGTCAGAATAAGGCAGCCGTGGCCTTCCTCAGAGAAAGTATGCCTCTCTCTCAACTGTATGACTCCAGGGACCAAAGTGAGATTCGGCTCCTAAGTTTCAAAAATCAACTCTGCAGCAATTTGATCACAAACTATTTCCTCTAATGCTAAGAAGAAATTCCTATAGAGATTTCATTTATGTTTGCTATAACCCATTAAAAATTAAAAATAATCCAAGAGCTGTATCACAGAAATTACCTTCATAAAAAGGGAGGGCCACAGGTTTCTCCAACAAGTGCAGTTTCAAATCACTGTAACTCATTAACACACGGCCCTATGCAATATGCATGGTGGGGGCATGGGTCTCTAAGTATAATACTGTTCCTGCCCTCAAAGATTTCTCTCACCACTGGCTAAGGAGACAAACCACATATACATCCATCAATCGAAAACCTGTAGTAAGTTTCCTCCACCATACTGTTGATGTCTTGAAGGTAGAGAACATTCTCATCAAACTTTGTATGTTCTGCACTAGTGGTACCCAATACCTACTGAAAACAAAGTAAATGCTTGTTGAATAAATGGCTGAATAAATTAATGACCAAATAACGACCATCTAGGAAAAGTAAAAGGACATAAAGGATTCCTGGTAACACAGGGAGCCCGCCACCTTTTTGGGGGCATCACCGTTGGTAACCTGCTTGTCTGCGGCAGCGCACAATGGCCTGGGCGGGGTGGGGGCAATCAGACAGCTGAGCTCACACAGGCTGCGGTTTAGCATGGGGGACATGAGGCAAGGACAGCAGGACCAGAAAGCTGTGAGGAACAGCGAGAGAGAGAGAAAGCTGGACTGTGCCTGCTGTCTTTACCAGAAAAGGAAGAATGTAAAACCACCAGGAAGTTGAGGTACTGAGACAGGAGGGTAAACAGTGAGCAGTGAGTAAACAGACTGATGAGAGGGAGGGAGGGAAGGAACTGGAAGGACAAATGCCAGGTCAGAGAGAAGACTCAGGGGTAAAGTTTCACATGTGAGGCAATTCCTGGTAATAAGCAAGTCCAGTGGGCAGACACAGTGCGTGCCAAGTACTCAGACACACAGTAAGTGCAAGGACATGTCTGGAGAGGGGCTGTGACTATGACACTGCACAGGATGTGAAAATGTCATGTGGGCCTGCAATGGTGCAAGAGTCGGAAAGACGCTGTGTTCCAATCCCAGGTTCCATTTGCTGTGTAACTTTGGGCAAATTACTCAACCTCTCTGAGCTCCCGTTTTCTCACTTCTAATATGGAGCTAATAATACCTCTGCAAATAATTATGTAAGATTAAATTAAAAAGATGAAGTACAGTATAGTGCTCGGCTCACAATAGGCAATCAAAAAGTCCCTACTCTTCTGCCGCTAAAGAGCCAAATGAGCACCATGTGGACCCCAAGCTGCCCAGAGCTGACCCTCACCTATGATTTTATCCGAAGCGTTACAAGCAAGAGCAAAGCGAGTCGTTTTGGAGTAGATTTCCATGGTTCTCCTCAAGGCTTGCTGGGCTCCATCAGTCATGCTGAGAAGAAAAACATTAAGAGTGCAGTTTGCAACTACAACCCAGGGCCCACTGGACACAAAACCTCCTTACAGAGCCTGGGAACCAGACCTCCTGACCGAGCATGCTCAGCCTCTCCTCAGGACCCAGTCTCAGTCTTACACATGCAGGCTGCACACAGGCCTAGAGCGGGGGCTCTGCAGCCAGGCTGCCTGGGCTCACATTGCAGCTCTTGCACCTGCTAGATTTGGGACCACAGTCAAATTATCTGAGCCTTAATGTCATCACCTATAAGGAGAGAATGATTCTGCCTACTTCAGAGGGTTGTGATGACAATTAAATGAGATAATAACATGTAAAGTGTTTAGCAGAATGCCTGGGATAATGTAAATGCTTATATGTAATTGCTCAATAAATGTGAGCTGCTATTATTGCTATAATGTTACAGTAAAATAGGTTAAGGTGCATCAAACTATGGACTATAATATGGCGATTACAAACTATGTTCCGAACAAGATTATAATAATGTAGAACACTGCTCTTTACGTTAGAAGGAAAAACCAGGATACAAAAATTATATATATTAGGATCTCAACTATGTAAAAATGCATAGTGTAGAAAAAGAGAATAAAGCAAGATATTAACAAAATTTTCTAACTTTTCTTCAAAGAATGAGTTACTGATTTTTTAATATCATGTAAAACTTTTCATTTATCCTAGTAATGGCTGTACAACATTGTGAATGTCCTAAATGTCACTGAATTAAAAATTAAAGTGGTTAAAATGGTAAATTTTATGTTATGTATATTTCACAATGAAAAAAATAACATTTAAATAATTCATTTAAGTGATGCTGGAACAAACATATCAACTGTCTTAGACAAATGTTTGTACGTTACTTAATTAAGATAGGTTCAGGCCTTCTATTAAATTGCTTTTGAAGACAAGCAAATCTACCACAAAAATGCCAAGGTGGGGAATTTTTCTCTGGATTTAATAAAGCCTGATAAGAGATATAGAGATTAAAGTCAAAATGTTCGGTAAAGCACTCTTACCTGTCTGCTTCATCCAGGATGATGATCTTGTGTCGTCCTTTGGGAAGAGTGACCTTCTGTTGGGCAAACATTTTGATTTTGTTCCTCACAACATCAATGCCCCTGAAACAATGAGCCAGCATTTAACTGTCACCTTCTGAGACAAATTCAGTTACCTTCACAGGAACTTTGAACCCTCATATATCATTATGAACCCAACTTTAATTTTTAAGTTTCCTTTTTAAGCAATTCTACCTATTTATAAGAACTGAAATTTTATTCCTCCTTGGAGGTCTTCAGCACACAAAAAACTACTTACTACTTAAAATACAATAAACTCATTTTAACTTGTAATTACCTATGGGTCCACTGAATCATTTTATAATCAGATATATTCTAAGGTATTAGTTCTTAGTGACACTATTCTTCCTATATATTGAAACCATTTAGTATTTAATCATACTAGTAATTATTCCATCATTACTCATCAATTATTCCCAACTACACTAAAAATCACTAATTTTTAAAAAATGAAACAATGATGGAATTGCCTAGAAGAATAATGCAATACTGGGGGGAAAATACTATTACTATTATCTCACTTGTCATTTTTTAACAGATTTTTTAAAAAAGATTTTATTTATTTATTTTTAAAGAAAGGGGAAGGGACAGAAAGAGAGGGAGAGAAACATTGGCGTGTTAAAGAAACATAGATTAGTTGCCCCTCACAAGCCCCCAACCAGGGATGGGGGCCGAGTCCGCAACCCAGGCACGTGCCCTGACTGGGAATCGAACCAGTGACCTTTCATTCTGTGGGATGACACTCAATCAACTGAGCCATGCCAGTCAGGGCTAATACTTTGTTTTTTTATTGTGTTGCTTGACATACTGCACTGTCTTTCTAGAATACACCGTTCAGACACACCATCTTTGCTATCTTTTTTTAAGCTTTCATCGACTAAAACTTAAAAAAAAAAAATCAAAACTTTTCATTTTCCATCCATAGTGTCAAAGAGAAAAGAACTGACAGAGGAAGATGTTTCATAATTATTAGACAAATCAGAAAATGACTGCGAAGAAGCAAATAGCACTCTGGACTCTAATGATGGTAGTGAAATTGATCATGTAAGCAACATCTCAGACTATGTTTCCTCAGATGCCAAAATCTTAGATGAATTTTCTCTAACTTAAGAGTCAAGGGTTGTGCTCATTTTGGCAGCACATACACAAAAACTGGACAAAACAGAGAACATTAGCATGGCTCCTACATAAGGATGACATGCAAATTTGTGAAATGTTCTGGATTCTTAAAAATCAGTGAGTTATGGGGATGTAACATACAGCATAGGGAATATAGTCAATAATACTGAATAGCCCCGTACAGTGTCACATGGTTACTAGACTTAGCAAGGCAGTCACTTCATTAGGTATGCAGATGTTGAATAACTATATTGTACACCTGAAACTAATATAATATTCTATATTATATTAAAGTAACTGTTATTTTAACAAAAAAATAAATTTAAAAAAAGAATCAAGGAGTGAACTATGTTTCTAAGGACAAAAACTAAATATATTTTCATCCAGTTAGTCACTCAATAGGAAGGACTTCATTCCCCAATATCCTATGATAAGAACTTGGACTTTTTATATTGATAAAGGAACATGTGACAGTATTCTTTCATCTTTTAGAATGTTTGTGCACTAACATTTACAGGGAACAGTTTGTAAGTGATCAAAAGCTCAAGGCAGGTTTGTGTACAAAGGTGACTGGAAGGAAACAGATGATATAGAAATGGAAAAAAATCCATTGTATTAATCATTTAAATAGGTGTTAAATAGGTATATAAATTTAAAATTGAAAATATTTTGCAGTTATGGGCCATTCTTTCTTCAACAACATTATGAGCCACCAATAGTGAGCTTGATGATGCAAATGTGAGAAGAACAGAGGTAAGGACAAAAATCGGCATTGATATCCTGGCCAGTGTGGCTCACTTGGTTGGAGCATTGTCCCATGAACCGAAACGTCCAGGGTTTGATTCCCAGTTAGGGTCATGCCTAGGTTGCAGGTTTGGTCCCCAGGCAAGGCATGTGCAAGGGCAGAGGATAGGTGTTTCTCTCTCACATGGATGTATATCTCTCCCTTCTCCTTTTCTCTCTCCCTCCCTTCCCCTCTCGCTAAAACAAACAAAACACACAATCAATCAATCAATCAATCAATCAGCATGTCCTTGAGTGAGAATTAGGAAAAAAAAATCAGCATTGACAAAATGGACTTATAAAAGGCTCATTCATGACAGCTGACGAGCAGTTTAGTTGCATTCCAAGGACACTGCCTGCTGCAAGCATACACAGAGACTCGGACAGTATTAAAGAGCTGAGAACTACGTCCTCAAGGGATCACCAGAGACAGACTTTGCAGACGTTTCATTTCATAGGTCTTCATTTCATAATCCTCTACTATTTCATGTCTAAAAAAGCAAACCAGAACCTCATACCATTAGAATGGCTGCTAACAACAACAAACCAGAAAATAACAAGTGTTCGTGAGGACGTGGAGAAATTGGAACCCTTGAGCACTGTTGGTAGGAATGTTCAAAGGGTGCAGCCAATATGGAAAAGAGCACAAAGGTTCCCAAAAATTAAACACAGAATTACCAAATACAATCCAGCAATTTTAAGTATAGATCCAAAAGAATTAAAAGCAGGGTCTTGAAAGGATATCTGTACACCTTTGTTCATAGCAGCTTTTTCACAATTGGCGATATCCAAAAGATGAAAGCAACCTAGGTATCTATCAATGGATGAATGAATAAGTAAATGTGGTGGTCTAGCCTTACAAATGGGTGTTGTTTGGTCTTAAAAAGGAAAGACAGTCTGACAGATTCTACAACAGACGAATCTTGAGGACATTATGCTAACTGAAATAAGCCAGTCTCAGAAAACAAATACTGTATGAAACCACTTACATGAGGCATCTACAACAGAATCAAATTCATAGAAATAGAAAGTAGAATGGTAGTTGCCAGGGGCAAGGGGCAGGGTTAGGGGTACAGAGTTTTAGTTTTGCAAGGTAAAAAAAGTTCTGGAGGTCAGCTGCACAACAATGTGAGTATACTTAGTACTATTGAACTGTACACTTTAAAATGAGCAAGATGGTAAATTTTATGTTCTGTGTATTTTACCATAATTAAAAATAGTATTTTAAATTTCCGTTTAAAAAAGTAAGCCATCAAGTTAGGTGCCTAAGATGCCACCCTTGTCAGCAAGCAATACCCATTCACTTTCACTGGGAAGGATTAAAGGAAAACACAAAGCTGGCCAGGCAAGCTCCATGTACAACACAGAATGGAAAAAAGGCTGTTTCTATAACAATTCAAAATGTAAAACACTCACTGCCCTTTAGTCCTAACTCCCAGGTATACCTGTCATTTGAGGCATTGAGTTCCAAGACGGCATCCTTGAGAGCTGGACCCAGAAGGGCTCGTGCCAAACACAGGATGCTCGTAGTTTTGCCAGTTCCTGGGGGGCCCTAGGAATGAGATCTCCAGTAAGTGCTTCAAGCCAACAGAATGATCTTAACATAGCTCCTGATTTACTGTTTGCCACTTTTTTGCATTCGCCTCCCCCTTGAGCCCTTAATCCCAACCCACAGAACACACTACATCAATGTAGCAACCCACCCACAGGCTTCCTGACCAACTTGGGTGAAACGTTTTCCTTTGCAGAGGGGACTATTAGGGCTCTGGTGGTAACGGGCTTCTCTGAGGAGGAAGTTCTGTGCACAAGAAATCACATCAGAGGGAAGCGAAAATGAGACTTCATGATATCACCAAAGCCGCCAGGACTGAGTACTTACAGCAATGATAATATTGGGCACATTCCCTTCTCGTGCAAAGACCTGAAGGGAGAAATGTTCATTAAAACTGGTTAACCTGTAAACCGTAAGGAGCCAAGCCTCCCCAGCCACAGAGGCTTGTGTAGTTAATCTGACTACAGATTTCTCCATATGGACGCCCATGGAACTCTCACCTCAGCATATTCAAAACTGAATTCGTCATTTTCCCTTACCAACCTGAGGCCTCACCCACATTTCCCCTCCCATGGACTGTCAATGCCGCCAACCCTATCACCCGAGCCAGGAACCAGGAGTCACTGTCACCCTGACCGCGCCTTCCTCCTCACCCCACACAGCACCTTCATTACAAAGGCTTAGTCGCCGCTCGTCTCCTTTCCTCTAATCTTGCCTTACTCCAATCCATTTCCCATACTGTAACCACAACTAATTTTCTCAAAAGTACATCTAATTAAAATATTTTTACCTTGGGTAACTCCTTACTGCCCGCATCATGAAACCCAAGCTTCCTTCCTTATTTATTTTTATTGAATTTATTGGGGTGACACTGCTTAGTAAAATTATATAGGTTTAGGTGTGCAATTCTATAGTAAATCATCTGTATATTGTACCGTGTGTTTGCCACCCCAAATCAGGTCTCCTTCCGTCTCCCTTTATCCCCCCTGTACCCTCTTCTACCTCCCCCACTCACCCCCCCCTCCCTGCCCCTCTGGTAACAAGCATGCTGTTGTCTGTGTCTACGAGGGGTTTTTTCCTTAATCCCTTCGTCTTCATGATTTCACTCACATGTAGAATCTAATGAACAAAACAAGCCAACAAACAAAATAGGAACAGACCCAAAGATAGAGAACAGAGTGGCAGCTGCCAGGGGACGGGGACATTGTGAGGCTGGGTGAAAAGTGAAGGGAGCTGGGGGTTTTCTAATCTAAACTAAGGGGCGTGTTAGGCTCCATGAAGCCCAAACTCTTGAACAGGGCTCATGAGGCCCTGCCCACCATACAAGGTCATCTCTCCCACGCCCAAAAAATGTACTCTACAGCCTTGGTATCAGTGGGCTCATGGACCAGCAGCATCAGCACCCCTGGGAGCTTGTCAGAAATGCAGAATCTGGCCCCATTCCAGAACCACTGCACAAGAATCTGCATTTTAACAAGATCCCCAGGCAATTCAAATGCCCATGAATGTTTGGAAACCACTATTCCAATCAGATACCCCCACCCAAGACAAGCCAAGCTTTCTCACCTCGGGGCCTTAGCACATGCTATTCCTGCTACCCCTTCCCTCTCCACCTCTCCCCTGCAAGTCTGGCTCACTCCCACTCGAGCTTTGGTATCACTTCCTCCACTTGGGAACGAAGACACTGTGAAGTTACCTCCTCCCTGAACTCTTCCCGTGTGCTCCCACAGCACCCTGTACTCCTCTGGCAGAGCGCTTTTCACGTTGCCAGCGGACTTTAATGTTGCCCCAGGAGATGAACAATCTTACTGGGCAAGAATAATGTCTATTTTGTTCACCATTATATCAATAGTTCCTAACACCGCCCCAAATCTGGCCCAGAGAACATACTCAAACATTTGTTAAATAAGTAAATACCTTGTTAGTTATTTAATTCTAAGCCCCCATTACTACAGAGACTGCCTGTTATATCTCAAATAGTTGGGCTTTTAGATTCTGCTTAAAGAGCTCTAGAGCTAGGAATTAAAAGCTTGCTCTACTGCTAAACATTTCTACCTGTCCATTGTGAAGCCACCTGCCTTGTCACTTAGTCCCTCTAGGCAAGGGTTGGCAAACTATGGTGAATGGGGCACAGTGGGTGGGGGGAGTAGGGGTAATCCACACTGAGGCATGTTTTTATAAGTCCCCTAGCTAAGAATGACTTTCACATTTTTAAAGGATTGTTTCAAAAATAAACAAAGAGACCTGGCTGATGTGACTCAGTGGACTGAGTGCAGGCCTGCAAACCGAAGGGTCGCCAGTTCCACTCACTGTCAGGGCACAGGCCTGGGTTGCGGGCCAGGTCTCCGGTTGGGGGAATGAGAGAGGCAGCCAACTGAGGGTCCTCTCACACATCAACGTTCCTCTCCCTCTCTTTCTCTCTTCCTTCCCCATTCTCTAAAAATAAAAACCTAAAAAAAAAAAAAAAAATCACCTACCTCCAGCCTGCTCACAGTGTCTTCATTCCCGACAATTTCATTCAACTTTACTGGTCTATATTTCTCAACCCTGTTTTTAAGAAAATGTATGTTCACATTCCACTCAAAAGAAAGCCGTCCTGAGAGCTTTGTCAGATGACATACATTCAATAAAAATATACCAAATGGCTGCAGGTTTTAAATTTAACGGCATGCCCGAATGCCATTTGAAAAGTTAAGTGCATGAGAATTACACACCAGAAGCTTCAAACCCACCATGGGAAAAAAACAAAAACAAAAACAAACAAACAAAAAAAA